CAGGGGCTTCAAGTACCTTATAATTATTATCTTTCGTTTGCCGTTGAGGAGCGGGGTAACTCAGTGGGTGAGTACTGACTTCCAGAGCTCAAGGTAATGGGTTCGAATTCGGCTATGACTAGTAAATTTTCATTAGCTGCGGATCGACCCTGGGATCGGGAGACACTCCTGGGGTACACCTAGCCCTTAATTTAAAAAATAATTAAGGAGGAAAAGCCTGGCGATTGAGCTAGATATCGGCCGAGAAAAGGCACAACCGTTGGCATTCAAACAGTACTTCCTCACATTGTACTGCACCTAGGACCCTTCATGGATTGTAATGGCACAGGTTTTTTTTTTCGTTTTCGTAAAATAATTTTACTGTATCATAGGCTATAATTAACAGCATTATCATAAAGCTTACAACACGCGGTAAGTATCCTACGAAAACCGTTGTGTTTGGTCACAATTATTCTATTACAACGATTCCATAGTTAAGAGTGGAATATGATACCTGTCAGGCTACTGGAGACAACTCACACCAACCTGGGGTAGGCATCCAGCTTACCTGGTGTATTTTAATAGAGATTCACATTATTTGTTATATATAATTAACAAATGCTACTCTGTTTCCAGATTTAATTCTCTATTTTTTTTAGGCATACCATAATTTTTTATAGAAGATAAATCTAAATAAACAAGATTATAATTCAATCTCATTTGATGATTTATCATCGACGTTTTTTATTAAATGATAATACTGACTTATATAATTTTTTTTTTCATAGTTTGATAAGATAGAGGTAGGGGTACGATATCAAATTTTAGGAATTTTTACGGACGGAATTCGTAAAAAATGAAACAAACAAACAAAAAACAGTGTAAGATTATATCAAAAAACTGAGAAATGATAACGGTAATTTGTATGTGTTTCACAATGACAAGAAAAAACGAAATTTAAATAAAATAAATTATTTCACACTTAAAAATTATTCTTAATGGTGTGAAAATTGATGACCGTAATTCTTATCTCACTACTACATATTGTTGTAGCATGTATTTAAATTGTCAATTTAAATACATTTGAATTTGACCTACGTTGTAAGCCTTCATTACTGTTAAAAGAAGAAGTCATGAAAAATAAATTGTTTATGATTACAATTTTCAATCAAATAAATAAAATACTATATGATGTTAGGTTAGTGCAAGATACCAAATAACGGTATCAGGAATATTGTAAAGAGAGGAAAAAGATCATTAGTAAGTGAAATGAACATTAATTGATTTAAATAAAATGTTCCCTTATTTTACGTTTTACTTATTTATTTATTTTAATTGAAATCTACATATGTATACGTATAGAGGCTCAGAGTGAAATTTATACAACCCGTATAAAAATATTCAAATGGTTAAAGGAAACAAATAACACCAGGAACTCTTCTGGTCTATAATCTCATTTTAAATAAGTAAAATTTCAATAAAATTATAATATTCAATTGTGGTTATTTTAAAAAATAGAAGATAATTTTACCTCACATCCAAAATGATAAACCTCACTTCTTATAACCTGTTAAATACTATTAATTTATTTCAACATATTGTAGGCAAGCCATTATTTTCTGCCACTCCTTCTTAAAGGAGTCGACCAATTGCTTGGTGATTCCACATATATTATTATCCCCATTCCCACATATATTATTACAGTTTTTTTTTTTTATATTTGTTTATTTAGAAATATTACATTCTGTCACATCAAGGACATTTATAATAGTGTTCAGAGAAAGCACACTCACACTCTATTTACAATAAAAAAAAATAATAATAATACAGAAACTTAATAATAATAAATACAATAAAATAAAATAAAAATAAATACAATAAAATAAAATAAATGTATATAAACAAAAGAACTAACCTAATCATACACACTCGGGCTTGAGTGGAGGATCTGGCCATTGCCAAAACTCCAATAGATGCTTATTTACAAAAGGTCTCTGGGCCACTGCCGCTTCAACCTTCGAGGAGGATTGTAAGGATGGATGGTGCTGGATAGAGATTGTGCAAGGGGATTTGGATGATAGGTAAGGTTTTGGTGAAATTTGGAGAATTTTTCTGGAATAAGGTCTAGGACAAATGGGATATTAAGGTCATGGTGTAGGATTTTGTTATTTACATAGAACGGAGCATCAACTATTGTTCGAAGGACTTTAGATTGAAAGGATTGAATACGTTTGATGTTAGAAGCTTTTGCTGTCCCCCACAGTTCAAGTCCGTATGTCCATATAGGTTTCAGTATTGTCTTGTAGATAAGTAATTTGTTTTCAATAGAAAGTTTGGATTTTCTGTTTAGTAGTCTGTATAGCTGGCCGTATCGTCGGTTGAGTTCTTGTCTTTTGAGTCTAGTATGTGGGTTCCACGTTAGTCTTCGGTCTAAATGAAAGCCAAGATACCGGAATGTGTCTGAGTAAGGAAGCTGGATGGAATTAAAGTGTACTGGTGGACAGTACAGTAAGGCTCGAAATAGGTTTTGTACCAAATATAAGCTCCTGCTATGCTCAAATATCATGAATGGAGTACCATTGTATTCAGAATTTCACGTGGTGTTAGCGAATCGTATTCTCCGCTTTGGTTTTTCTTTGTAAAATAAATGGAGTTGATGCAAACATTTTGCTAGGCTTCAATACTGGAACGGTGTAGTTCAGTATACTGGAGTATAATTTTCAGTATAATGTAGCTGACATCTCTAAAGTAAAAGATAACTATATCGTTCCATATATATGGAAGATTTTTTATTGAGGAGATGGAAAAATAAATTGTGTTTAAGTGAATAGAGGTTGGTAGGGAATTCCAAAACATGGTAGCACGTATGATGAAGGATTTTTTTTAAAGTAAACGGTTCAATGAAAAGGAATAAACAAATTCGGGGATTGGGATCTCGTGTTGAACGGATGAAATGAGGAATATGCAGTAAAAAACTCAAAAAGGTAAGAAGGTTTTTTGGTTGTAAAGGTTCAGAAAAGGAATAAATTTAGGAAATATAGCGGAAAACTTCAACTCAGCATAGAAACAGGAGACGTGGGAACGCCTGAGGGGGGGGGAGGGAAGGGGAACTCCAAGGATATATCTAATGAAACCTTAGCCTCTTTAATTTAAGCTCTGCAGACAGTCCACCGTATATAAGGCAGCCATAATCGAAGTGAGGTAAAATGAGAAAGGAAACTAGGAGCTACATTGGCAAAAATTAAAATATAATAAAAGTAAAACGTATTATTTTTGTACGTTAAAATCAAAACTATGGTTACAATTATAATAATTATATGACTGACAATAGGAATTTGAATAACTTTTCTGAACCATTGAATATCTTGGATAAGTCTAATAAATCGAACTAATTTGTTTTGTTTTTTTCATCTTCGCCTGCATGATTTTGTGATAACCTTCCTTTGATGTGCAATATGTATATAAATATATTTTTTTTCCTCTCATTATTACAATTCTACCTTTTTATTTCATAAATTTTGAAATTTGTGTGGCATATTGACGGATTTTGCATGTTTTTTGATCAGCTGATTGATTAAAACATTTCTCAGTTGTGTTCAGTATGCGATTGCATTTCATGAAATTATGTGATCTTTGGTTTACTTTTCTTTTCTGTCTTGATATTGTCTGAAATGATGAAAAGTTTGGCGAATATTTTATACTTTATCTGCATTATGGAGACATAAAGGGGACCCTATACGGTCAATTGGAATTGCACTAATGACGTTCCAAATTGTCCTGTAAGGTAGTGAATGAAGTACTGATGGTGGTGCGCTGCGGATTTCCGGAAATCAAAGGTTCATTCACGAGAAGTGGAGGGGAGACCGACTAAACATATGGGCTGGAGAGACTAACCATACTGCTGGATAGGTTAGGTTACCTAGGCCTCACAACCATTATAAATTTCTGATTTTCATTATATGTAAATAGTTAAATAATTTTCCATATCCCTTGTTTATAATTTTAAACCATCTTCAACTATTTCTTTTAAATAGTCAAGTGGGCAACAAATTAAAAAAAAAAATGAGGAAACTTCACAATTTACTTTAGGAAAAAAAATTTTTTAACGTTGTGTATATTTATCAGTTCTTTTCCCATTTTCCTCAACAAATTTATTATTTTCGCAATACCTTTCCTTAATTTTCGTAAGTAGTAGACTTATATTTTACTAACTTTTGTCAAAACGATTTTCTATGAGACTAACCTTACTACTAGATAGGTTAGTTTACCTAGGTCTCGTTATTAAGTAAATAATTTCATGAAAGTAAATAGATGTTTATATCCCTAGTCTATATTATTACTAACCATTTTCAATTCTTTTTTCTTCAAATAGTCAAGTAGTCAATAAATTGGAGAGAAAAACAAGTGGAAACTTCACAATTTACTTATAGAAAAAAAATCTTTAACTGTTGTGTTTATTTGCCATTAATTTTTCAATTTTTCTTAACAAATTGATTATTTTCGCAATACTTTTCCTAGATTTTTGTATGTAGTTGACTTATATTTTTCTAACTTATTATATATCCGTTTTTCTCTTGATGCCCAATATTATAAATGACAATGTCCAAATAAGCATATCTATGCTGTTTCTTTGTTTGCAACTGCCCTAAATTGGTATCAGCAACGATAAGTAATGATCAGTAATGATTGAACGTGTAAGGGTCTTCATGATCAAAGCGATAGCGGACAATCTTGGAACTTCTTGTGACGTTCATTCATGAATTACCGTGTAGGGTCCCATTAAGGATATGTGGTTGATTTTTTTAAAATTATAACCTACCATTAAAAGCAATAGTATCAGTTTATCAGTTGTTATCAATGTCAGTTTCAATGTCGTATTTGTATTTATTACTTGAGTATTATACAAATCACAATATTAATTTATTTATAAATATTGAGTAATAAATCAGTGGTTTTAAGAATACTATACTACATTGTGTAGTGATTCTGTAAACATCTTCTAATTCAGGTTCGATTTTTTTTTAATCGCATTTTATTGCATTCACCATCCTGAAAAAAAATTATAGTTGTATTATTTAAGCTCAATTAGAGTCATAATATATTCATCACCAAATTTAATAGTTACTTCATTATCTATATTCTATGGTAAAATATAATCTGTTTCTAATTAGTCATATATTCTTGAGAAGGAATAAAGGACTATCCGTGTTTCAACCTTCACCGTCCACAAAAACTGCTTAAAATTAATAGCAGTGGGCGTTATAGTAGCCAAATGTGGTTGGAATACAGAACGTTACAAGGGAATGCTCAGCTCAAACATCTTTCCGTTAAAAAAGATAAGAAAAGTAATTTACTATAATACATCTCGAACTTAACGTAAATTAGAAACGAGAAATAATTATATTTTGATTACATTAAAATAAAACTTACGTGGTCGGTAAAAATCCGATTTCCATGCAACAGTACATTTCTTTTTTACAACACTTCGCGATGTGTGGGCAACAGTTTTCGCCGCAATGTATTTGTTCAATTTCTGAAATTAAATGGAGTTAGCTTCTATCGAATTTGGTTGTATATAGAAAATTAAAATATGAATACTAACTTTGGCCTGACTTCAATTGAACGATGTCTGAAGTTCGGGAAATGGAATCATCTTCGACCGCTCGTGCGCTTGCCAAGGGGAGAAGACAGATGGAGATCGTACACAACGATACTATAGCTATCATTGTTTTGATTTATCGATAGTTTACTTCACAGGTTATTATAAACACGGTTATCAGTGAGGATCATTCTAAATCTAGACAGTAAATAGTTGAATGCAAGCCTCTTTGAAGATTATTTTATATTTAAACTTATCTCCCAGATTCACTCACACTAAGTCTGGATTAATCTTATTTCTAAATAAAGAGAAAAAGAAAATGTTATTCTGAAAAATTTAGTCCGTAAGGATAATTATAATGAACAAAAAGGTGTCATTTATCTAGCATTACAATAAAATTAATAAATTAATTAACATATTAATAACATACATCCATAGACAAACAGAAAATCTCTATTCTAGTTCTTTTCGACTTCTCAAAAGCCTTCGACTCTGTCAATCAAAATATCGTCATTTCCAAACTCCGAAGCATGTCCATATCGTATAGCCTTCTGAAATGGTTCCTATCATCTTTATCCCAATGCTCCCAGAAAGTTCTTCCCTTCAATTACTTCATTTATAATCTCATTTTAAATATGTAAAATTTCAATAAAATTATAATATTTAACTGTGGTTATTTAAAAAAAAAAAAAACGATAATTTTACTTTACAACTAAAATGATACACCTAACTTCTTATTAACTGTTAAATACTATTAATTTATTTCAACCCCTTTATAGGCAAGCTATTCCTTTTTTAATGGAGTCGACCAATTGCTTGGTGATCCCGGGCTTAGTCGAATCTCTTCCACTCTTCGAGAAAGTATTTTTTAAAGCGTTCTTTGCTAAAAATTTTATGCTTTATAACTTTTACCTCCAATTTCGTCCACATGTGTTTAATCAAATTATGATCTGGTGAATGAGAAGGTGTTTTCATAGCTTCGGGAACAGTTATTAAGTACACTTTTTTTAATTATCATGGCTAAGTGTTTGGGGTAATTATCTTGAAAACAAATATTTTTTTTTTTAGTTCACACTATTTCTTTCAAGTTTCTTCTCTAGGTTTATTCACTATATACCATTTGAACATTTCCTCTCCTTATAAATTGAAGATTTCCTACACCAGAAGCCATACGTTCTTGCACCAAGATACATAACATAAGAAAAGAAGATAAAACATAACACTTTGCTAGGATGTTTATTGATCAAAATAAATTATTGTTTTTAGTATGATATAAATTGAACTATTTATTTTTTCAATAATTTCTATCAATATCCAGGCGTATCATTTTGACTGTGAGCCACTGTATATACAGCAAATAATTCTGCTAAATTAAATAAAAAATTACATATATAGAAATTGATAGTATAATAATATAGATTTCATAGGCCACGTTTTATGATGAGTCACTGTTGCTTTAAAACCCCCTATTTCGGGCGAGCTTCGTCTCACATTCAGTGAGATGGTGTCGACTAAAGAGGAGACCTCTTCTATGAAAAATAAAATATGAGACGAAGAGCGAACACTGTGCCAATCTTTTATGCTTTTAAATATAAAAACAAGGAAGAAAGAGGCAGATATAGTGTAAGCCATAAGTTTCCTTGAGAATAAAGTATTGGGTTGGCAAATAAGTCCTTTCGGTTTTCCAGAATGAAATAAAACGCAATTTATTATAGGCATAAAATTTGTTTTAATCTGCAATATATTGACCATTATTTAATATGACTTTTTCTCATCTTTCCACAAACTGAGTAATGCCATGTTTGTAGAATGTCTCGAGTTTATTTTTTTTTTAAACTGATCCAAGTGGTTTTGATGTAATCTTTCTTTCGGTATTTCTTATCATGCATTGAGTTCTGCAGAGGCCGGAATAAGTGGTAGTCACTTGGAGCTAGGTCTGGTGAATAGGGAAGGTGGAGAAAAAGGTCCCATAATGACCCTTTACCAACGATTTGATACTAATTTAAGCGGACATCACAACAGATTAATAAGAGACATTGTGACACAGGACACACGGAGGGGACTAAAAAGCCGTTGGATGAGAGATCACCTTCCTTAAACAACCTAAGTAATTGAAACAAGTCAGGGAAGAACCGCTGCTGGGTACTTGAATCTCCAGCACATTTGCTGATGGATAACAAATTTGACAGGCGCATATAAATTTTGTATAGCCAAAAAAATAGTGTAATTGTTTTTTTGTAATTCTGGATCTTAAACACTTGGTGTTAAAAACTTTTATTTTTGTACAAATTAATTATTGAGCAACAATATATTTACAATATTCATCTATTACAAATTAGAAATAGTCCATCATTATTTACAATAAAGTGAGTTGGAATTCATGTCAGCAGTCCGAAGATGGCAACATCCTAGAAAAATAATATTTGCTTCAGATAGATAGATAGATGGAAAAAAAAACTTTATTCTGGGACTAAGTCCCTTCAGAATAACAATAATGTACGAAATAATAGAATATTACTGGCCTGAACGTTGAAACAATAAATAAAATTGATAAAATAAAATAAAAAGTAAAGAAAACCTTAGGTGCACAAGCTATATACAAACAGATAAAACTATGTACAGAGCATTTAAAATTATGAACAAAACAATTAAAACTATGAGCGAATCACTTGAACTATGAACAAAATTATATTTAAGGGTTGAACAACATAAACATACACTTTGAGAAATGAAGAACGAAAAAGAGATACAATGAGTTCATTTCATAAAAAAAAAAAAAAACTTTACTTGAATATATATATATAAAAATAAACAGTTACTTATAATTGAATAAAAAAAAATGTATGTATTGAAATTCCTACGTCGATAGTAGGAAATGCATGTACTATCTCTTACCAAGTGTTATGATTATATGATTGCTACACAATACATATATAATATCAATAGTTAGCTGGTATCAAACTGTTTTTGGAACAGGAATTGGAATAGGAGGTTTTTGAATGTATACAGGGAAGGGGCATGTCGAATTTTGATCGGGAGGGAATTCCAAAAGTTGACAGAGCGGGCTATAAAGGAATTTCGGAATGAGGCAGATCTATGAGAAGGGATGTATAGGTCAGAGGGTCGGGATCTTGTAGTGAGTGAATGGATTGAGGACTTAAATTGGAGAAGGTTGTAGGCATAAGAAGGACGATGATCGATAATGATTTGATAAAGGAAAGTGCCAAGGAAATATTGTCTTCTTAAGGATGGGAAGAGCCACCCTAACTCAGTGTAGTGGTGGGAGACATGGGAGTACCTCGGAGCACCAATTACAAATCTTACGAAGCAATTCATAAGTCTTTTGAGTCTATCACGCAGTTCCACCGAGAGGCCATCGTACACCACACAGCTGTAGTCAAAGTGGGGAAAGATGAGAGAGGAAACTATGATTTTGTTGATAGTTAATCTTATAGTAAAATATTCATATTAAAATACTGTATGGTTAAAAAAATATATTAATATTGAAAATATAAATATTACATGGGAAAGGCGAGATCGCAGCAGAACTTGCCACCCCCACAGCACTGGTAGTAGGCAGGGCAGCAACTGGTGGCGGTACATCGATTCAGGTTGATGATTAAACTCTCCGGTCCGTTCCAGGATCCTGGTAGCAAATAAATATACTAATATTAACGATATAATAATGCTAACGATATGTTAGCAAATAAATATACTAATATTAACGATATAATAATGCTAACGATATGTTAGCAAATCAATATACTAATATTAACGATATAATAATGCTAACGATATGTTAGCAAATCAATATACTAATGTTAACTATATAATAATAGAAATAGCTTTATCAGAGTCATAGTTGACGAAGAATATTTGACATAATTGTCAAAACAGAAATAAAGAAATTACACCTTCAAAGTTTTATAATATACGGCTTATATCTGACATAATATATGACAATAACAGAAGGGTTCGCTGGTTTCAGAAACTGGGCAATCAATATCTCATGATATGAAGGCAACGAAGTTAAGATGGACGGGGCATGAAGCTCGGAGCTATCCATCTGGAAGCATCTATACAACGAATGCTTTAATTGTTGGAAAAGACCACCTGATAGACCGAAAACCAGATGGACTGATTGAGTCAAAAAAGATGCAATAGAACCTCATGCTGATAACAGGAAAGGAATAGCTGATGATGAGCAGACAGATAAGGCGGCAAAATATCTACAAGGTCTATCTGACCCATTTATATTTATAAAATAATAATAAATAAAATAATAAATAAAAAGGCTAGCGAACCCGAAGGTTCGATGCCGACACCACCAATCGCTTATTACACACCTCCCTCCACCGTTCGCCGTCCAAACCCAGTCCCTTCAGATCAGCTTTAATGCAATCTTCCCACCTTCGCTTCGGTCTACCTCTCGGACGCTTACCATTTGGCACAGCATATATTAACCTTTTAGGAATTCTCTCGTTACTAAGTCCAACAACTTTACAAGCCCATTTGATTCGCCGCGATGAAATTATCTCAATTATATTACCCGGATACAGCTCACGCAATTCGGCGTTGTGTAACCGTCTGAACTCTCCGGTTAACTCATCCTTCTTCGGTCCGAATATTCTACGCAATACTTTATTTTCAAAAACCTTAAGACGCTGCTCATCCCTTAATGTAAGCGGCCAAGTTTCGCACCCATAAAGAACTGTAGGCAAGATAATTGTTTTATAGATTCTAATTTTTAAGTTTCGGGACAAAAGGCGCGAACTAAGTAGTTTTGTCACAGAAAAATAACAAGCATTTCCCGCCTTCAGTCTAACCTTAATTTCTTCTTCAATCTCGTTTTTTCTAGTTATCGTAGAACCTAGATACCTAAACTTATCTACCTGCTCAAACATATTACCATCTATATCGATATCACCAGTAGTATCGCCATTTTTGCAGCTAACCATATATTTTGTTTTATCCATTTATATTTATATATGAGGTATATATTAATATAAGAGAAAAAACAGGTATTTAATTTCTCTTCCTCACACATACCGTATTAATCGATTTAGACCTCATTGACAGAGATCTTTTAAAATAAAAAATGGTTAGGGAGGGAGCTTCAGTGAGCCTCCTTTTTCTGGAAAAAGCATTCCATAAAAACCGATTCTATCATACATGTGTTGAAAAAGAGAAACATTAGTTCAAGAATATGCAAGATACTGGAAGATATGTATTCGAGATCCAATGCAGAATATAAATCAGGAAATACAACAGTAAAAATAAAAATTAGAAAAGGTGTACGACAAGGTGATACCCTTTCTCCTAAAATATTTATATCAGTTCTCCATGATTTGATGCAAACTATGAATTGGCAGAACAAAGGAATGAAAATTTTTGGAGAGTCGCTGAACCATTTAGAGTTTGCTGATGATCAAGTCCTAATAGGTAAAAATATAGAAGAAATCCTAACGATGGCAAACCAATTAATAAAGGCTAGAGAAAACATAGGGCTGAAAATAAATTATAAAAAATGCAATTATATGTCAGTGAACGTTGAGGGAGATATAAAAATAGGCGAACACCATATAGAGAAAGTAGATACATTTATATAGCTTGGGCACCTTATGTCAATTAAAGGACAAACTGAAGAAATAATCAGACGATGTACCCAGGGATGGCGCGCTCTCTTCAAATTTAAGGATATATATAGATCCTCGGTGAGCTCAGAGGTCAAGAGAAAACTTTGGGTGAGCACAGTACTTCCTGTCATGACATGTGGTTGTGAAACATGGGCAATTGACCAGAAGACTTGCCACAAATTGAGGATAACCGTCAGAGGAATGGAGGGAATGGTATCCAAGAGAGCACGTGAGGAAGAGAGGACGCCCGCCGACAGACTGGAAGAGAGTAGCATTAGAGAGGAAAGAATGGAAAAGGATGGGACAGGTTCATTACCTAGTGTGGTTATAAGAAAGTTAAATATAAAAAAAAAAAAAAAAAAAAAAAAAAAAATCGAACTCAAAACCTCAACTAAGTTGATTTTGTACATATAAGAGATTTTGTATATTTTTATCCATTGTTTTTTCATTGTATGCACAAATAAAGGTTATTATTATTATTATTATTATTATTATTAGGGGGGGGGAGCTTAATTTAAAACAGGCCGGTGAAATAAACTCTAGCTATCTTTACCTGTCCGCAGTTTGTTGGCACACCAAGATAAACTTAGACGGCACTGAAATGGGAAGTAACCGACCTGACGATTTCAATGAAACGAACGCTTTTTGTCAAAAATATTAAACACGAGTTGTTACCAATGGGCTTTTTAAAAAAATATACATACAACTTTTTTTTAACTTTTTTTTTTGCTTATGAAAAGGTTATTATGTACAAATCGAATTAATTTTTTTTTCAAATAATAAAGAAAATTTCCGATTGTATTAGATAACATACTATTTTATAATAAATCTTAAAGTATTTTGCGTGTAATACATAATTTACACACACACGCACACAGAAACATAAAGACAGACCATTTTACTTGTCTTGATTATTTAAATTCACGAGTTTTTATAGTCCGTTGTACAGAGCTCTTTATATAAAATTATTAATATCCGCTTGAAGCTTAATGAATAACTTTATCTGAATGTACCTACAACTATTTTATTTACGATAGCTTTCGGGATTGGGACGTTTTCAATCGGAGATCGGCAATTTTTTTCTATTTGATTAAGTAATAAAAACTCGTAAATACCCATTTGCTTTTCATTTGGATCGTAAGATAATTTCATAACAAAAAAATTGCCTATATAACATTTTTGTTTTAACATTCTGGGACACTGTCATCACCACATATGCTGATGACACATGTATCCTATCAGTCAATAACGACCCATCTATTGCATCCCAAACCCTTCAATACCACATCACAAACCTTGAAGAATAGTGTCAGAATTAAAATAAATTCCAATAAATCCCATCAAATTACCTTCACCCTTCGTCGTAAACCAATGATTTCCTGTCCTTCAGTATCCTTTAACAACACCTCACTTATTCCTGTTGAACAAATCCGTTACCTAGGACTCCATCTGGACAAACGTCTAACTTGGAATCCTCATACCAGACTGAAACGACAAGAAACCGCTCGACGTTTCCGACTACTTCAACACTTACTATACAAAAGCTCTAACCTTCCAATCAATTATAAAAGACTGATTTACATGACTATAATAAGGCCTATTTGGACTTACGGGGTTGAGCTATGGGGCTCCACCAAGCCTTCAAATTCCTCTCGCATACAGTCCTTGCAATCCAAAATCCTTCGTAAAATCCTCAATGCTCCTTACTTTGTTACAAATAAAATTATCCATAATGACCTTAATGTTCCTTATGTATCAGATTTGGCCCAATCCAGATATCTGTCCTTCCATAATAAACTTCATAACCATCCCAGCCCTCTTGTCTCTAACCTTGCTTCCTATTCGATTCCTGATAACCCTCCGAGGCGTCTGAAAAGAAGATGGCCACGTGATCTTCTAATATAGACATATTATTAGAGTGCTACCAATGGGTAGTTTCTCAACATGTGTTCCATGTCTTTATACCAATGTGCAAATTTACTAGATGTATTTTTTTGTATACAGTTGTAAATATCATTTAAAATAAATAAAATAAAATAAAACATTTTTGGAGTGCAGTTTTCACCAAACGGCTCAATAATTTTGATTACCACATTTATTCTCGATTTTGTGTTCAAATTATCTTACGATTCAAGTGAAAAGTAAATGGGCATTTAAGACGTTTTAGTACCTAATTAAATAGACTATTGGAGTCTTGCCTTATCTTCTTTAGATTGCCCCAATTCTAAGAATTATCGTAAATAAAGTAGTTAAATAAATGAAGCTATTTAGGAAGTTTCATGGGGATCTTAATAATTAGATAAAAAAGGATCAGTGCCACGGAATGTAAAACTTGTATTACGGTTATACCAAACTTAGAAAAACTTTACGATACCAATATTTCCTATAAGTAGGTAAATTAAAAATGTATTATAAACTATACGATAAACTAAAATTAAGATGAAAAAATTCCTTGAAAATTATGAAATTCGTTTTTAAAGTTTATTTTATCCGCCTGATTTGGTTTATTATTTCTGTATCTCGGATACAGATTCCGCTGATATTCCAAATTGAATTGCCACGCGATCTTTCAACGATTCAAATAACGGGCGTTATTGTCACTTGAAAGGAATTGAAAATCCAATATTATCCAATCTCCCATTCTAGGCAGTCTTGGAATGGAAACTGATGCTTCACTGTGTCTACCTTCTTAAAATGAAGAAATTACACCAATAAACGTTATTGGAAAATACAGGAATGCTTAATAAATTACTTTTAAGATACGTACACATTGATACTGCGGAGTGATTTTTAAAAAATACATTACTCAATAAGCAATTATTTCTTTTCTTAGATATTTTTTTAACATACCTTACCTTTACCTTTTTTTCTAAGAATTAGTTAATTGTATTTTATGAGAGATTAATATTCTATTATTTCCTAATTTTTCTTTTTTCAAGAGTTCTTTACCTCAAAACAAAATGTGTGATGCTGGCATCAAATCCAATTAATGGCAGAGTGGTAAGGGAAAGTAGATGGAAACTGTTTTCAATGCTCAATAAGAGCACCCATTTACAGATCATTCATTGTTAATAAATAGCAACTGAGTATCCATGAACATAAAAATATGCAATTACTTATAAAGTTTTACACCAGAACATTAAATATTAAGCACATTACTATGTAACAAACATAAATGAAAGCTAAACTTCAGTTGCGGCCACTACACTTGCTCCTTAACAAAAGATAAATAATAAATATATATATATATATATATATATATATCTTTTCTTAAATACGCCCATCTTAGCAAAAAACTTTTTATTTTACATTCTTTCTCGATTTTCTAAGCATAGTGTGGGATGCAAAATACATCTGATGTATAAATATTAGTTTTTATTTTTTTATTGTTTATTGAAAATATTACAATCTGTCTCAAAGGACATTTATAATAGTGTTCAGAGATCACATTCACATTATAAATGTAACATTATAAATATTAGTAAAAAAATAAATCATAATAATTTTTAAGTTTTTTTCTTAAGGTGAGTTTAGACATTTCACAAACTATGGTTTACACAAATATTTAAATGATTATTTCTTGTTGTTGATTTTTTTCATCTATAATCAGAAACAAGACACATTAAAAGAAAATTTAGATCTAGTGCTAATGACACTGTTTACTTCTTTTTTAATTTTATACTATATTTGCAACTGCGTTTTTGGGCGCATCTAGCAAATGTGTTGTCGTTCATTTTGTCTGCTATTTCTTGAAATATTTTTCATATTTTGGGCAGATCTCGAGGCCACTGCCTTTTAATTTTCTTTGAGGCTCCTCTGGTAACATGGAGGAAGAAAGAGAAAGGACAAGTGGATTAGGGTGGTTAATAGTTGTAGTGTGGAATGTGGTGTATTTGTTATGTATGTAGTTTTTACTGTTTTAATGTTCATGTCGCTGTGTATGATTTGATTTGAAATATACATTTACATTTTTCGAAGCATTTTGGTTTCGATAGTTTGTATTTTGTTTGTGTGGAAGTGTTTCCCGAGACCCCAAAGTCCTGCTCCGTATGTCCAAATAGGTCGTAGTATGGTGGTGTGGATCTGTTATTTAAGTTTGATAATTTTTTATTCCCATAGCTTTCAAAATATCTAATCGACCCTAGAAATATTCTTCACATTATATTACAAATTTAAAAACAATATATTTAAATGAGATATATCAGAAACAATACATGAGATATTATATAAAATTTTGAAAACGATGCAAACAAATTTAGAATATATAATTCTACTAAATATGAATACCATATACATCTTTACACCATTTATTTAATGTGTTGTATTGCGCAAAAACTTCAACTATTTACTCAGAATAAGTCTGTTACTAAAATAATCCGTTTTATTTTATTTTTATTTTTGTATGAAAATGTTTTCCCTAATTTTAGCTATTACTATCGATATCTAAATTGTTCGAAACCGTTTATAATCTAGGATTTATTATCTGTCTCCTCTAAATCCTTTGAGATTATACGATTTGATGTTAGTCGTAAACATCGCTCACGATTAGATTAGTTTATCAAAATTTTTAAATAAATAAAAAAGTATATTTATATCATAACCCAGTCGAGATAAACGCTACCAAACGGCTGGTGTTCAACCGAACCCCGTTAACTCATATTTTTTGTTGGGCAATTCAAATTCTTGAAACACCACCAAGCAAAAAGTTCGTTGACATATTCTTAGAATTTAATACATTTTACTGGAAAAAAATTATAATTTAATATATAAAGTCCAAACGAATACCTCAACAAATAAATGCTAATTTAAATAATAGTAAAATTAATTATTTAACTAATTTATAACTTTAAACAATATTGAGCACCAGCCTTAAAAGGATTAAATCAAATATTTTGGTTAATTTTGTTTTTATCAAGTAATTAATAATTTGATAAGAATCAACAAAATTGATTAAATCATTATCATTCTTAAATTGATTTCAGAATAAGTCACAATTATTTTTATTAAAAATATCGTAAAAATAGTAAAATAATACAATAACTGTAGATATTATAGTAAAATTGTTTTTACTAAAAGAATTATTTCTTGTTTCATCTTTTATTGTGAACTTTTAAATTAGATATATCATTTATGTATCAAAAGTTGTCAAAACAGTTTGTAAAATATAAATTACTTTTATCTATTATTAAGAATTAGATTTACAGTAAATATGAGTTCAATCGTTCATTGGAACCATTGCTTATAGATGCTATAGAATAACTGAAAATGTACTGTAAAAGCCACAGAAAATTTATTTTATTTTTTGTCTTACTCATAAATAAATTTCATTAATAAAAAAGTAAAAAATCAATTGAAAGATCGAAAATAAACACTTTAATGGAATTTGAAACATACATGATTTTTACTCATTCAAGTTTTAGTTACATATATTTTATAAGGAGTTACCTGATGTTGAAATAAAAAAGTCTCACCGCACTAGTAAATATATTTAAACAAATAATTAAAACTTTTAAAATTAATAATTTCTTCCATAAATAATGCCATTATTAATTAATAATTTAAAAAAATAGAAAAATTGAACCGAACAAAAAGGAACACTTAAATAAAATTGAAAACGTTTATAAGTGATATTTAGTTCTTTTTAGTAACATAGTAAGTTTTGGTAACATCAATAAATATCAATTTATTCCTGTTTTAAAATAAAGAATCTTATCACCTTCAAGTTATTATCTTTAGATTCATTCTAAAGTCTTTTATAATCCCTTACCTTGAAAATTATCATGACACGAGCCTTTGAATTCTTTTTACACCAGTACCAAAACGCCCAAACAAATTTAAATATTTTATTTATAATATTTAACTTAAATATTTAACGATTAAATTCTATCCGATGCCTTAATTATTATTATTAATACCAGGAAAATTTAGGCACCTAAAAGAGTATCGCTAAAATCAAGGTGTGGTCATGCAATTGACGCCATTTTATTTTATTTTAAACAATATTTGTTTATGCTTTATGCTGTGTAAGAAACATTAACCAGATCTTAATTAATTTTGTTAATTATTAGTATTAATTCAAGACCCTGAGTTGGGATTCGTCATTTCTATAATAAATTTCCTTTTTTTCTTTAACAATTTGATTGTTAAAATTTATCCTTCATTATGGAAAAGAGACATATAGTACGGAATCATAATACAGTGATAATTCATAAATTTTATTGAATTTTTATGTCATATAAAAACATTTACTATTAATGTGTGCTGACGTTTTAGTTATTTAGCATTGTTTTATGTAGAAGTACTAAGAGTTCGTTTTCAAGTTAAGTCATGAAGAAAATACTTAGTTCAAATTGTAGGTACGAAAAGAAAAGAAAATATTATTTAATGTGTGTTAGTTCAAAACTTATTTCTTAACACAAGTATACTTTTTTTTTTTAAATATTTGATTTATTGGGAGGAAGGGGTTAGTTCTAGAGGTAAAAAGAAACTTATTCTAACCTTATTGGGAGTGTCGAGATTCATTCCGTTGTTCCAAAAAGAAATACATTTGAACCGGGTTCGAACCAACTAGACCCGAAAATTAGTAAAACGGGCAGACTGTCGCTATGACCTCTTATCACTTGTCTATAATCATATGCTTCAAATTATAAAACGAATTTTTTTATCTAAAAAAAATTTTTTTAAAGTATGAATACACCCAAATATTCGAAATGTAGTGGAGTTTTGGATTTGCCTATGTACTCCAGCCTAATTACAAACGTGAATTTCACAACACAGACAAGGTTACATCAAATATCAAGATTCAAGAATTCCTTACCAACAAGCACACCAATAAATGATCCTAATCCTGATTCATGGAAGCTCCATCCCCTGGACAAGCGGAGCTGGAAGGATAAGAAGAGGAAGATGAAGGCGAAAAATATTTTGCACATCTTCTTAACTAGACAAAGAAGGTCTGATATTATCGTACATTTTAATAAAGGAAGCATGGGTTTTTACAATTTCTTATCTTTGTAATCCATTGCTCTCGGCGTATTATCGAACAGCTGTTGGGAATGAAATGCTCAAGCACTTGATTCCATCTAAGACTCACAAGAGGAGTGCTTACTTATCAAAGACACATCTTAAAGATTTGATGTCAATGCATGCAACATTTTAACAAGCGATATTCTTCAATCATACAGTAGTCAGCAAAAGACTTCATATGTACTCGTATCCTGACAGGAATAATAAAAAAAAAAACGATGTAAATTATTTCATAATGGTTAATTATTTCCTTGATTATATAATGTCCTAGAGACAGATTGTAATACTTTTCAATAAACAAGGTAAAAAAAAAAAGATTACATATAATTTCCATTTAATTACTAACTATGAACTGTAAGATAACCTGAGCTCAAAATCGAGAAAAAAAGGTGGCTTTCAAAAATATGGAACTGTTTAGCGTCACACCTTCACCCACACCTTCACCCCCAAAATTTTAAAATAACGATGTAATATAGGCCAAACGGCTCAGTATTTTTATAGGTCACATTTTTTTTTTACTATTTTGCGGTCATGTTACCTTACGATTAAAGTGGGAAGCAAATGGGTATTCATGAGTGTTTAGTACCTAATTGAATAGACAAAGTTCTAGCCCTAAAATTTATAGTCCGTGGTACAGACCCCTTTTTATCAAATTATTGACATCCGGATGAAACTTTGTAAATGGCTTCATCACATCTTAAGATACAGGTATTTTATTTACGAAAATTATCGGAATTGTGGAGTTTTCAATCTAGGGGTCGACAAACTTTGTCTATTTTATTATTTACTAAAATCTCGCGAATACCCATTTGCAAATTGTAAAAATAACGAGATTATAGGCCAAACTGCTCAATATATTAGAAGGCCACCTTTTTCCTCGACTTTATCAATCGAGCTCAAGTTATCTCATGATTAAAGCGGATAGAAGATGGGTATTTACGAGTTTTTAGTACCTAATTAAATATACAAAGTTAGACGACCACTAGATTCTAAATACCAAGAATTTTCGTAAATAAAATGTTCGTAGCTTACGATAAGATGAAGTTATTTACGAAGTTTCAACTAGATGCTAATATATTGATACAAAGGAGTGTGAAACACGGACTAATAGCTATAGACTGGTTAATGATATGGCTGTGGCTGACATGCCCATTAGGAAGCAACCAAATAGAAGCTGGATGAGAGATCTCCTTTCATACATCAAGGGGATTAATTAATCCTTTAATACATCGAAGATAAGTGATGCTGCTTGGTTCTATCTGGCCTCATTCGTAAAAGGAAATGGCTATAATTTATCACAACCTTACAATACCACATTTGCTAATCGTCACTCTTATCTGTGATAGGCGTATTTTTTTATATGGGTTCAAGTAAGTACGCATATGAATTTAGTTTCTGATAATTTCTAGTTATGATAATATGGAAAACTGAGAGTACAGTAAGTTCAGCCGTTAGTTGAAGATTTTTCTTTTCCTTTTAACTTGGTCCATCTGAAGAATTTGGTTGTACCGGATAAAAAAAAAAAAAATTACTGGCAGATAAGCATTTTTGTTTCTTCAAAATATGAATAATATGTTTTTTTTCTGTGTTAATCTCATTTTCCAAAATATGTACTGTTTTTGTAAATGTATTAATCCATTGCCTTTTAAACGACATCTTAATATTTTTCAATGACCATCAAAATTATAATTGTCGAAATTTCAAATATTTATCGAATTATTCAGAAATTGTGATAAGTAGACTGCTAAATTTACAAAATGCTATATATTAAAAAAAATAAAAAAAAACATATTAGCTATGTTAGCATTTACCAGAGTGCCTGATTCTCTCGAGAGCATAGTAATAATGCTTAAGGAAAAATACAAGAAAACTACCTTTTAATGATTTTTTTTTATTTTTTACCATTATATAAATAGGCAAACACAAAATGGTTCAGCCACTTTTTCTCCTCTATTATTCGACCGATTTTATTCCTTCTTTTTTTCTTTAATAGTTATTGACGAGTTTCAGTGTTATCAATACATAAAAATATGAAATATTACGTAAATAAAAATATAAATGGTAGTTTGCTTAAAACAGCTAATCTCCGAAAGTTCTTCACCGATTTCTTTGAAATTTGGACACAATATCGCAATAATATTTAGGAGTGTTTTTTTATAAGTTTTATTATCATCAGACCTTTTCTTATGAAATGGCGGTAGAAAAACGTGATTCGCTTTAGACTGTAGCGCCAATACGGCTTCAACGATTTTAATGAGACTTGGCCAAAGTCTTCTCCTTGAAACTTTTATAATTTATGTATATAACACACTTTCCCGAAAACAAGCTGCATAATTTTTTATGTTAAATTCATTATTTAATTTCCGAATAACTCAAAAAGTACACATATTTTTATTGATAATACCAATATTTATTTGAAAGCTTTCTGAATTCCCCACAAAGTAAAAAAAAAATCATCGAAATTGGACTATTTGTTGCAGAGATATATCAATTTAAACATTTAGAACTTTTTCTTTTGCAAAGTCGATTTCCATTATTTTGGTTTTTGATAAATTTAAAACTTTACATTTAATGAAGTAATCGGGATTATTATTCGAAGAGATTGTATCATTGAATGTTAGTGGAATGTTACCACATAAATTAAATTTTTTTTTATTAACGAAATTTACAACTGTAATTAATAATAAATACAACAATTAAATATGAACAAGTAATATGACATGTACAACGTGAGGAGAAACTACTCATCGGTAGCACTCCAATTATATCTCTATATTATAAGGTCCCGAAGCCATCTTCTTTTCAGAAGCCTCAGAGGATTATCAGGAATAGAAGAGGAAGCAAGGTTGCAAACAAGATGGTTCGGATAGTTCAGAAATTTATTATGGAAGGATAGGTATATGGATTGAGCTAAATCCGAAACATATGGTACATTAAGGTCGTTATGGATGATTTTATTTGAGACAAAGTAGGGAGCATTCAGGATTTTATGAAAGATTTTGGATTGTAGGGATTGGATACGAGAGGAATTTGATGGTTTAGTAGAGTCCCAAAGCTCGATTGATGGACCTTAAGTCCAAATAGGCCTTATTATAGTAATATATATGAGTCTTTTGTAAATAGTTGGCAGTTTAGAGCGTTTGTCTAGTAGGAAATTAAATTTAAAAGGAAATTCTATAATTATTCTTACTTTATACTTAGTTAGACTTACTTACTCATTCTTAACTTAAATATGGCACAAGGATTAAGTGATGGGACATGAATGAGAGTGAAGTACTCACGGGAGCTACTTTAAATAAAAGAATTTTAATTACAATAACAATTTAATATTTTCTGATACAATAGTTAGATTTTAATAATTTTACAATGAAGTCAAAAACTGCTGGTCATGAACTGAAAATAAATAGTGGTTATTATTACAATTAAGACTTCAAAATTTCATTTTTTTTTTCTTGATCTCCATCAGAAATCTGACCCCTTTTGTGCACAGGTTCGATTCCGGTCTTTGTGGTTAAAATTTATCTATTGGCGAACCAACAAAATTAATATCAAACTACTCTGGCTTAAATATCTGCAGAATGAAAAGCGATAAATAACATATACTTGTCATTATTATAATTCAATTTTGTTCTATTTTCTAATCAAGTAATAATAAAGTCGTGTTTTCGTAGTCATCAGCAATGAATAACAATAGAGTAATTGGACAAATAAATATTTGTTATTGAGACCTCTCTAAATAAATACGAGGTAAATGACCTGACGGATGGGTACTATATATAGATGTATTCCACCTACCTTGTATATTCAACCAGGTTTAATTAATTCGTTGCCTAATGTTAATTGAAAATCAAGTTCAAATATGATAGTAGATATCCGAATAGTCATAACATAGAAATGTTTTATAATAAACAATAGTATTATGTTTCAAATATATATATATATATATATATATATATATATATATATATATATATATATATATATATATATATATATATATATATACACTGATTTGGTTCAAATCCTTCCTTTCCGATCGATCCCAGCAGATAGTAGTCACAGATCAACCTCCTTCTAAGATACTTCCACTTTCCTGTGGTGTCCTCAGGGATCTTCCTTGTCTCCTACTCTGTTTGCTATTTATATTAATGACCTTCCCCTCCTGATCCATCACTCCCAATACCGCATCTATGCCGAAGATTTCCAAATATACCTGTCCTTCCCCCCTTCTGACCTATTAGCCGCCACAGAACAGCTTCAAGAAGATTTAAATAGAATATATGACTGGGCAGGAAATAACAAGCTGAAGTTGAATGCGGAAAAGAACAAGGCAATCCTAATAGGCTCCAATCACCTCCTCAAAACTGTTCCTAACTTTCCAACCCTCTTCCTACATGATGATCTCATAAAATTTTATCCCATCATCAAAAACCTTGGAATAATCTTCGATAAAATCCTTTCCTGGAAAAACCATTTTTCAAATATCTCTTGCGGTACCTTTTATCTAATGTTGTCCAAATGCGAGACCGAGACGAGTCTTGGTCTTGGAAACTCATTCTTGGTCATGCGCAAGAGTATCGCAACAGTCTTGCAGTTACTTATTAGCTTATTACTACAGAGATATTACTATATTTTTTTAGATAGGAGAAACCTAACTAAGCCTGAATGAAAAATAAGAGGAGTTAAATACAAAAGTATATTGGTTATACCAATAATTAACATATAGCAACAAAGATTGTCAAGTATTAATAACTATTTTGTCTTAAATTTTATTTAAAAAATCGATTTTTTTTACCAGACATGGTATTGGTCTTGCAATAGTTAAGCGGCCTTGGTCTTGGTTTGCAGAGTGAAAGACCAAGACCTATTTTGAAGACTCCTGGTCATCTTCTTAATATTTCCCCACCTTGGCTATTGGCGGCGACCCTATGAATTTTGAGACGAAAGTAAAACGTTTGATAAA